AGAACGTGATCTACCACCACCAGGTCAGGCTTCAACTACTGAGCTGCCTTATGGGAGTGGTCTTTTACATGTGTCCCAGGACATGGACATAGCCATACAGGACCTCGAAGAGAAGGCAGAAAGACTGCGAAGCCTACTTGAGGAGGAGGAGATCCTTGTGGAACAGTACAGTCGAGTGACGTCTGAGTCGAGGGAGCGCTTGGAGGAAACAAGGAATCAGGTTGGTGAGTTCCTGGACTACATCCACGAAGAGCTGATTGGCTTGGAAAAGGTGAGAACGGCAGCATGTTTGAGCTCGATGACCAGGAGCTCTACTACGAGGACTGGCGAGTCTGGAGCCGAGGATGTAGATTACGAGAAGCTTCTCGATGAGTTGGAGGAAGACCTCAAAATTGTGCATACGGTTCCGATTGTCCAGGTCAAGAGGGTTCTGGATAGATGGGTTGCTTCTATCAAAAAAGAAGTGGAGAATCTCTTTGCTTCAAACACCCTACGCCGTGTCACAGCCGAACAAGCGAAGCAGCTGGAAAACTCAGGACAGGTGGTGTTCGCGCCCGCGAAGTGCGTCTTCACACTAAAACCTCCTCAGGAGGCTGGCCGCCGTGCAAAGCGCAAGTGCCGGTTAGTGATATGTGGGAATTACGTGGAGCGAGGCCGGGATGGACCAGAAGACCTTTACGCAGCAGGAACTTCCTCGGACTCCTTGAGGCTGTCCCTGGTTATAGCCGCTGTTCGTGGGTGGTTGGGTGCCGTTAGCGACGTGACAGGAGCTTTTCTACTAGCAACATGGCCAGAAGGAAAAACCCGTTACGGCATCTTTCCTCCAAAGGTGGTTCGAGATGCTGGTTTTGGAGAAGGTGAAGCCTGGATCATCGAACGCCCGATCTATGGTCTACGAGAAAGCCCCAAGATATGGAGTGACTTCCGGAACCGCAGACTTCGCAGCGCCAGAGTTAAGCTTGGAGACGTAGTGCTTGTTTTGCACCCTACCATCGTGGAGCCGGAGCTCTGGATGATCGTGTGCGAGGTTACAGGAAAGCTTTACGGTTTGATGGTCCTCTACGTTGATGATATCCTGTATTTGAGTGACAAGGAAGTGATCGAGGCAGTCCACCGGTTCATAACTGAAGAATGGCCTACATCACCTCTTGAGTGGCTGAATGAACACAAAGCAGTACGCTACTTGGGGGTTGAGATCCTTCGAGAGCCTCGAGTAGATGAACATGGAAGCCGGCATTACGTGTACACCGTTGGGCAGTCGGCGTATGTGCAGGACCTTCTACGAAGCCACGATATGCAGGAGGTACATCCTACGCAGCTACCAGTGCCCAGAGAGTGGGTGGAGGAAGCTGAGGCTTCTGATGAAATCGAGGAGGGCTTTTCAGAGGACACATTACGACAGGCCCAGCGGGTTGTCGGAGAAGGTCTTTGGTTATCTACGCGAACGAGACCCGATGTCCTGTACGTGGTCAACCATTTGGCTTCCCTGGTATCAAAGCGCCCTGAATATGTTCTCCGGGTCGGGAGGAGACTCCTGGCCTACCTTGCGGGGACACAGGACCTACGACTTCAACTTGGAGGACCTCACGGTGATGATCGTGCCATAACCTGTTATACTGACGCAAGTTATGCGCCATTCGGAAAGCGGTCTTTTGGAGCAGCGGTCATTTGCCTACATGGCTCTCCTATTTCCTGGAAAGCAGGCCGTCAATCATTTGTCACGCTTTCGGTCATGGAAGCAGAACTGTATGCTGCGACCCAGGGTTGTTTGCTGCTTGAGGGAGTCTATGCCTTGGCCAATGAGGTTTCCCCTGGAAAGTATCAGAGAGTACTTGCAGTAGACAACACAAGCGCTGTGGCCATGCTGACAGGAGGACCGGGATCGCAACGAACACGACATTTAAAAATCAGAGCCAACTACGTCAGGGAGGCAGTGGAGTCTGGATGGCTAGTGGTCAAGCACGTGGATGGGGATCAGCAACTGGCAGATTTGGCAACAAAGCTACAACCTCGCCTAAGGCTTCAACAGCTACTTCGTTTGTGGAACTTCACAGGCAGCTGTATAAGCAATGTGCTCAAGACCATGCAGGCCAGAGTCTTGACTATCCTGGCAATGTTGGCTTCGTTGGTGTGCCCTACTCGTGCAGAAGATCTGAGCAGGACTAAAGATCCAGTTCCTATGGCTTCCTGGGATGAGCTCTTGATGTTTGTCATGGTGATTGCACTGATTGCGGTGATCGTGTGGGAGGTTGTCAAGCACGTGTCCATTGTGTTTTGGAGGCAACTAAAGGCTGCTAAGAAGGCAAAGAAAATCCAGAAGATTGGCGAAGCGGCTTCCGAAATGGCAAGAAAGGAAATCCGCTCATATGAGACAGCCAATGAAGCTCGGGCAACTAGGCCTATGAGTGCGGATGAGCCGTTGCCGTCTACATTCTTTGAAACGGTAGATCAGCCGTCTACGCCTTTGAGACAAAGAACATCAATGGTCAGCGAAAGGTTTTCCCCAACGCCGTCTTCTTCGAGTTATTCAGCGTCTAGGGTGTTCAATGAGGATCCTGTGGAAAGACAACGGGTTGCCTTTGACATGTTGAACTTAATGACAGTTGAGGAAATGAAGACCGGCTTGAGAATGGAAGGCGGGGCTGTATCTGGAAACAAACCAGATCTCGCAAGACGCCTCGCGGAGTGCCTGAAGCCTGGTATGGATCGGGATGATGACATCCTACCAACAATGAAGCAGATGAAGTATGTTTTGTGGTTGTTTAGGTCGCGAAGCCTGGCAGGCAGATGCAAGTTACTGTGGGCAGATCTAAACACCAGATCTCGGATTTCCAGTTGGATCAACCTGTGGAAGTCGGCATGAGACAACGGGATTTTCTCGTGAAAATTGGCAAAAGGCCGTTCCTGGCTTTTAAAGGCCGGAGGCACACCATCCGACGAGTGCCTATGTAGCTGGAAGCTCAAGGCAAGGAGGAGTGTGGATGGCGTGAATGTGTGATGCCTGTAGCTTGTGGCTTGAAAGTCGTGAGAAACAGGTATCGATGCAAGCACTTTAGCAGAGCCTGAACTTAAGGCTGAACTGTCAAGACAGCAACATGCTCGCGTGTAAAAATTCGAGTGCCGGAGCTCATGGTTTCCCTCGCTCGTCCCTGTAAGTGAGTCTGTGACTCTTCAAATTCCTATAGTTTAGGGTTTAGGGTTTAGGGTTTAGGGTAAGGAATAGACCATAATTCCCCATAGTTTAGGGTCCTTGAGGTAATGCGGGATTTCTATCATCAACAGTAGTTAAGTTGAGGGGATCTTTTAATGCTAGAGGGAGGGTCCTTTCATTCTGCAGAGAGGATGTAGGGTTTAGGGTCTAAAAGGCTTGGGGTGTCGGATCTAGAGTCTAGAGTGGTTTCGGGTTTAGGGTTTAGGGTTTAGGGGAAATCTTCCGGGTGCGGAGTTTTGGATCTGGCTTGCAGAGATTGCCGGGCTTCACCCAAAGATCCTTCGAGTGGGATGCAACGCATCTCGAGTCCTTGATTCTATTCCATTGTATTCTGTTGTGTTATGTTTCGGTCTATTCTATTCAGTTCTATTCTGCCCGGTTCTTTTCGATTCGATTCCATTCTAGTCTAGTGTATTTTACCCTGTTCGGTTCCTTGCTATTCAGCTACAGTTTAGCATGCTTGGCTCAAGAGTCTCACGGCGTTAGGCTTTTGGCTCTTGGGTGCAGGGGTTTTAGGGTGTAGGCTTTCGAGTTTTGGGGTTTAGGGGTGTAGGCCTCAGGGTTTAGGGCTTAGGGTTGAGGGTTTAGGGTGTAGGCTTTTAGGGTTTAGGGTTTAGGATGTGGGCTGTCGAGTTTGGGGCCAAAGATAATAAAGAGTGCCTCAGGACTGGCCCTCGAATCGCTCCTGCGGGTCTGCGCTGGACCTCTACGCAGGTGCCCAGAGACAGCTGTGAAGTACCGACCGGGGCGTGTAGAGATCGAGAGCATGGAGCTTCAGAAACCTTAGGGTTCGAATTCTGGACAGAGGCTTAAGGTTTAGTGGGGGGGGTTTATGAGTCCTACGGTTACGGGCATGCACAAGTCAAGAGGACCTCCACCCCTGATATTCAGGATCCTAAGCCCTAAGCCAGGCCCTAAGCCCTGAACACTTTGCCCTAAACCCCAAACCCTAAGCCCTAAACCCGAAACCCTAAACTCTAAACCCTAAACCTCCCCCAAAAATCCCTGAACCCAAAAAAACCTTGAACTCCAAACCCTATACCCAAAACAAAGACCCCAAAAAAAACCCGATCCGAGGCGTCTCGGCGATGGTTCACAGCCAGGGCAGCGAGTTTCTCACGAGCTGGCGGGCCCGCAATCTCGGGCGAGGGACTCGGGGGGGTGGTTTCGGGGGGGTTTTCTTTCGGTTTAGGGTTTGGGGGCTTAGGGTTTAGGGCTTGGGGTTCAGAGCGGGTTTAGGGTGCTCTGGTTTTGAGGGTTGCAGGGCACGAGGGTTGATTTCAAGGGTTTGTGAGGTTTTCGCAGGGGTTTATAAGGGTTCGGCAACGCGCGTGCGTTGACGACGACTTTAGGGGAACTGCTTCAGTGTTGTGCTTCAAGCGCCATTCAAAATTCAAGGGTTTAGGAAGTTGAGGATTGGATAGAGAAGCCCGAATACTTACTGACATTATTCCTGTTGATATGCCCCCAAACCCTGCTCCAATCATTAATCAGGTCCCCAAACCCGAAACCCTAAACCCAAAATCCTAAACCCTACACCCTCTGTTAGGGTTTTCAATTTGCTTTGGAGTTGAGGCTCTTGATTTCAATCAGCGCCACGGGCTTACTAAAAGCCAGGGCTTCAAGATTTCGGGTTCTTCAAGGTTGGGGGGGGCGTTTTGGGGGGCTGTTGGGGGTTCGTTTCGAGCTCGGCGTGTTGGATGTCTAGGTTTGTGGCTTTAGGGTTTAGGGTTTAGGGTTCAGGTTTTAGGCTTGGGGGGCTTTGGACGCACAGTCGGGATGAAGATATTGGGCCTCGGGGGTTTTTGACGCTCTGAAAACCTACAGCCTTAAATCCTAAACCCCTAGACTGCAAACCCTTAACCCTCGAACCCTGCAGCACTTAGCCCCCAAACTCTTGAACCACAGCCCCCAACACTCTACACCCCAAACCCTTAACCCAAAAGCTGAACATCCTTGCAGAGCACTTATAGATCCAATCATGAAAGAAGTCCTTACAGCCTGCAAGCCTCAGGTATTTCCCCGATGGCGATCCGCAGATCTGGGTGCGCAATCGTGACTTGCTGATGCTTAGTACATACACAATCAGAGGATTTCGCAAGTCAAGTTATTACAAGTAAGGTGGCTGCACTTATAATTGTAGTGGCTGATAAAAACAAACACACACACCTACCCACCTACCCACCTACCCACCTACCTACCTACCTACCTACCTACCTACCTACCTACCTACCTACCTACCGACCTACCGACCTACCGACCGAC